AACTCTCTGTACTGTCTTTATACCTTTTCTGTGAATCTAAAATTCTGGCCAGGCACAGTGGCTCACGTCTGTAATCCCAACACTTTGGGAGGCCTAGGCGGCTGCATTACCTGAGGTCAGGAGTTCGAGACCAGCCTGGCCAACATGGAGAAACTGCATCTCTACTAAAAATAAAAAAACTAGCCAGGCATGGTGGTGTGCACCTGTTGTTCCAGCTACTCGGGAGGCTGAGGCAGGAAAATTGCTTGAACCTAGGAGGTGGAGGTTGCAGTCAGCAGAAATTGCGCCTCTGCACTCCAGCCTGGGTGACAGAGCGAGAGATTCCATCTCAAATAAACAAACAAACTAATTAATTAAAATATTTATAAAGTTTTATAAATACATACTATTTCGTGTGTGTGTGTGTGTATAAAGAGGTTTTATATTATCAATTATATTATCAAGAAATCACATCCCAACTGGCCACTCAAAGCAGTTCTCAATAGCATGTGTGTTTTTGAAAGGTATTAGACTAATGATAGAATAAAATAAATGATGTAAACATGCTTTTAAAAATAAAAAGTGCTTCACAAATGTACACCATCAGCTGTTTGTTACTGTAATTATTCTTGTTATCAGTTACTCATCCTGGAGAATCTGCCATAAAATGTAAGCAGTGGCTATTGACCACTAGAAGAGAAAGAATGAGATGGTGTCTCACCTGGAAACCTTCAAGGATCCTGTGGGCCTCCTTGTCCAGGTCCAGGTCAACGGGCGGCAGGCCCAGGTCATTGCCGTAGATGAGGTACACGCGCCCGATGTGGATGCGGCCAGGGCGGCTGTAGCCTGGTGCGCCCACCACGAGGTCGCCGTACCCATCCTGGTTGAGGTCAGCTGAGGTCATTGCCCTTAGGGAAGTGAAGGAACCCACCATGGTATGCACTGAGCACTAGGGGTAAAGCTGTCGCCTGCTTCTTTCCTTTCTAGAGCCCAGTCCGTTAACTTTCTCTCACTGACTTTTCTACCCTGCGTGACTGTTGTGAATATTCACTTCTGAGGCTGTATTGTTTGAGAAATTCAGTCTCATTCTTCAAGGGGAAAAATAAAATAAAAATGGACAAATCAAGGCCTCTAAGCATTTTTGGACCACATAACCTGAGAGGATGAAAAGTATCCTCATGAAGCTTCCTGTCTTATACACAAAACCAGGGCTTGCCTGAGAGTAAAGAGGAAATTCGTGTCCAGCCAAGTCCCTCCAGCCAACGGCTCAGGCCACTTTCTGATCTGCTCAACTCATTTCAATGTGTTACTTGACCAAAGACAAGCTTGTGTGAAATAAACTATGTTTCTACCACAGCCACACAGGCACCTGGTAGTGGGCCAAATCAAGAAATCAAGTGTTCAACATATTTAGTAGTTTACATGAGATTCCACAAGCCACCAGCTATAGAGCTGGATAAACCGAGTCAAAGGTTCAACTGTCACTACTGGGGCTGGAAAGACCAAAAGTCATTTGTTTATTCTAGTTCTTATTGCCACATAAAGAACAAATGGCAGGCTGGGCACAGTGGCTCATGCCTGTAATCCCAGCACTTTGGGAGGCCGAGGCGGGTGGATCATCTGAGGTCAGGAGTTCGAGACCAGCCTGGCCAAGATGTTGAAACCCTGTCTCTACTAAATATACAAAAATTAGCTGGGTATGGGGGCAGGCGCCTGTAATCGCAGCTACTCTGGAGGCTGAGGCAGAAGAATCGCTTGAACCCGGGAGGCGGAGGTTCCAGTAAGCTGAAATCAGAACAAATGGCAGAACAAAGGAAAAGGGCAAGAGCAGTTGTTTAAGGCTGTGATACCTGGTGGGAGGGGCAGACACTCCAGTGGATCCACTGCTGTTCTCTGCACTTTGGGGGCTCAGTGCTGGCCAGTAATGGCCCTAGGGATGCCCCTGTGGCTGGCTGTGCTTGTGTAGCTGCCAGTCCAGCAGGAGGCCTTTTGGATCTTTCAGGGAGGTGGCCAAGAAGAGCCATTACAAGTGAACGAACAGTAAAGACAGCATTCACCTCCCGGTCTCCTGCACTAGAGCTAAATGCACAGAGGCCCCGAAAGGAAGGACAGTCAGGAAATTGTGCCAAGGAAATGTGATGCCCTTTGGAATTAAGGAGTGTGATTTTTTT